GAAACTCATCACCGTGATCATCACAAAGCATCGTAGCGTATTCAAACAATTAACACACCTTCGATCACGATGATTTTATACCCACAAAGGGCTATAGTTCTCACCTTTTCTCTTTTTTTTTCTTTTTTTTCTTTTTAACGAATAACAACAGAAATGGAGCATGTGTTTTTACCGGCGGCGTGAAGATCTAGAAGCCTCCGTCGATCGGATACAGATCGATGAAGTACTCCCGAGGATCCTCGCAAGCAGCATGGCCAAGTGACGACCGAACTCACTCGAATCACTCGACACTGGCAGGAAGTGGAAGCAAGAGCGACCGAGCGAGGACGCCGAGGAGCAAGGCGAAAGCGGGAGCGAGGCGGAAGTGGAAGCAGGAGGGACAAGATGGAGGGACAAGGTGAATTAGGGTTTCTAAATACCAAATGTGTAGTTTATGTTTTAATTTTTAGGATATGGTTCCGGTCCGTTCTTGAGCCCTGCCGGTTCTTAGGAACTGAACCTGAACCGGAACAACCTGTTCCTAAAAATGGGGAACCGAGAACCGGACCCTTCGTCCATGGAACCCGGAACCGAACGGAACCCACCGGTCCAAGCTTCTCCTGGCTTCTCTCACCTCAACCGCGCTCACCCCTAATTTGTCCTCAGCGGCTGTTATCACGGCCAGAGCAGCTAACAACGCCGTGTTGAATCACTTTGTCTTCGTCTTTGTTTATTTAGAATCCCTTTGTCTTTGTGTGTGTGCGCGCGCATAATATATATATATATATATAGAGAGAGAGAGAGAGAGAGAGAGAGAGAGAGAGAGAGAGAGAGAGAGAGAGAGAGAGAGAGAGAGAGAGAGAGAGAGAGAGAGAGAGAGAGAAATTAGCGTCCGTCTCAGTTCCACCGTTTCAAAGTTTCCAACCAAATTCCTTCACTAAAGTCGTGACTTTTGGGCACAACGAGAAGATGTCGGCGAAATTAAGCCATTTTCTTTAAAGCATGTTGCTTGGGTTTGGAATGGAACCTAACATGGAGAAGACCACCGGTGGAAGAAGCCCTATTTTTCTAAAAATAGCAGCATCGATCATTTTCAATTGCTATTCCCATTATTCTGCTTAATTTTTGCATGAATTCCTAATAAATTGTCCATTTGCTGTCAAAAAAATTCTTGCTATCCACCCGCATAACATGGAGACTCAACTTGATGTTTTAAAACCCTCGCGATCCGCTCGATGATAGCTCGATGAATTTCGAAAACTAAGCTTAAGACGTAATAGCAAGTCCACGGTTTGTTTCAAGGGAGAAGTCCCAAGAAGCGTTCGCTTCCGACGACCATTACCAAAGGGCCTGGGACGACAGCCCAACTCTCTCGCTCACTCCTCTCTTTAGTGTTTTTTTTTTTTTTTTTGCAAACCGAGGATCCGCCACCATTCCCTGGGACGAGCTCAAGATCGTAATCGGGGCGCCTATATACCGGGCAGAGATCGTCTCAAGAATCCACCGCCTGTGGCCCTCCACTTAAATTACGGAACCGAGCGGGGATTCGAACTCAGAACCTCTCTGAGGGAAGGAAAGCGCCCACCAACTCGGCCATGCGCAGGTGTTTTTGTATCTCTTATTTCTGATATTTTTAGTCCATATATGTTTTGGGTCTAATTGGTGATGATGTCGGTTGCCACGTCCACTTTTTGATACATAAGTTTAATCTTAATGATGAATGAGATAAGAAAAGGCCCAAGTTCAAGAATTCAATAAGTCCCGAAAAAATGCATAAAAATCCGATTGAATCATTCGGTAATAGCTCGGGAACCAATGATGATTTCATCCCGAAATAAAAGTGCATATACAGACGAGAAAATTATCCAAAAAGTCCTAAATCTATTATACGGCGGCCAATTCAATCCTAAATATTTTTAAAAGTTGCCAATTCAGTCATAAACCTTTTAAAAAATTACCAATTCAATCATAAACCTATTGACTATTTGTCAATTTAGTCCTAAATATTTTAACAAATTGCTAATTTAATCCTTCAAGCTAATTTTGGTGGGAAATCGCTAACGTGGCAGTCTAGTCGACGCCGACCGTCCTACGTGGCGTTGACGTGGATAATTTTCTATTTTAAAAAAAAATGAATTTTTTTATTGATTTTTATTGATTATTTTATTTTTATTCTTTTCTTTTCTTTTTTCCTTTCTTCTTCTTCGTTGAGCTCGCCGGCTAAGGGCCGGCGAAGGTGGCTAGCCATTAGGCAAGGGCCAGCAAACCCTGCCGGCCCCAGGGCAAGGGCCGCGAAGCCCTCGCCGGCCGTGGGCAAGGGAGTCGCGACGGCCGGCGAGGGTTCTCGATGCCCTCATTGGCCGCAGCGAGGGCTGCGACGCCTTCGCCAGATCTGGCGAGGTGAGGGCGTCATGACCCTCACCCAGGCCGTCGCCGGCCACAGCAAGGGCAGGCGACGGCTCGCGACGCCCTTGCGGGCCACAGCGAGGACTCTCGAGCCCTCGCCAAATCCGACGAGGGCTGCGACACCCTCTCTGTGGCCCACGAGGGCCTGGGCGAGGGCTTCGCGGCCCTCGCCTAGTGGTCGGCCACCTTTGCCAGCCCTCGGCCAACGACTCGCTAGCTTAACAAAGAAAAAAGGGAAAAACAAAAAGAGAAAAGAATAAAAATAAAATAATCAATAAAAAATTTGAATTTTTTTTTGAAAAAATAGAAAATTATCCACGTCAGTGCCACGTAGGACGGCCGGCATCGACTGGACCGCCACGTCGGCGATTTCCGGCCAAAATTAGCCGGAATGACTAAATTAGCAATTCGTTAAAAGGTTTAGGACTAAATTGATAAATAGTCAATAGGTTTATGACTAAATTGACACGATTGAAAGATTTATGACTGAATTGGCAACTTTTTAAAATATTTAAGACTGAATTGGCTGTCATACAATAGGTATAAGACTTTTTGGATAATTTTCTCATATATAGACCGTGTTGGATACATGGCATACGCGACTTTGAATTATAAAAAAAGGTTGTTTAAAACGACAAGACACCCACCACAAATTATGTCTAAATCGAATGCACCATGTAATAACTCAAAAAATAGAGAAGGAGAGAACCTAGCTCTTTCCAAAAGTCAATCGAATGTACCATGTAATAAACAAACAAGCACAACCACCTGGCGTTCCTCCATATGTTTCTTGGCCATTCTGGCTTTCTTTTTTCTCCCCCATTTTTTTGGCTGGAATTGGAATATACAGCCTTTCTCCAAAGTCTTACCAATAATTGATCTATTTTTCCCCTAAAATAGTGTCAGTTCCGATGGATAAGTTTGGGCTTCTTTACATGATAACGACGACTTTGATGCCTAAACATCATCATTGAGACGCATAAACACGACCTTGAACGTGTGCTCGGAGGACTCGTATGCTACGTATGGAGCTATGATTGTACGTACGTATAGTCTTTCAATACTAATCCCACATGCATTGAAGAATTCTCTTATTTTTCTCACTTTGAAGAGCCTCTTCAGGAGATTTATTAGCATTGACTATTGGAATAATTGCATTCTGCAAGTTGTAGCTAGAATCTCATTTCCATGTTCTTCGGAGTGAACAACTGGGGGTAAAAACCCCGATATAATAAATCCTCAACGTGAAAATTAAACAAAGCTAAATCAATTTCCCGAGAAAAAAAAAGCAACACAAAGTAGCATAGCCTTCATACTGCCCTCGTTTTTGTGCCATGAGTTTTTTATTGATGACTTAAGTGCCATAATTTTTGAAAAACTTTTGCTCGAGTGATGTCGGCGTGACATACAAAGCTATTGAACTTGTGGTAAAAAAAAATTTAAATAACTTTTAAAAATCACTATACAAAAGTTATGTCCCTATTGGCATACGTTCCCCTCAATTTCCCTTCTTTTCACAAGAGCAGGGTTGGTAGAGTATGTGTATTAAATTTAGTGATGCGAAACTAGGATTTAGGCTAAGAGGGCAAACGTCATGGTCGAAGAAAGTTGTTATCAACTTTTACAGAGTCGGAATATTTCTTAGCACGAGAATTTAAATCATTTAAATAAATTTATATGACATAAGATAACAGTAATCATTTTTAAGTTAAAAAAAAATTCTAATATGGAACATTTTAAATTTTCGCGCCAATTTGATAAATCATTTCGACGGTAGAAATATGATTCTTCTCGATCAATATTACTTAAAATTGTTTTCCTTATAGCATATTAGTTTTTATTTTTTGAGTAGTGGCCAATTATTGCATGAGAAATTGATTTCAATATTTAAACGTCAGGAAAATCAAATAAATGATCCCTGAATTTTGCCTCAATGTACAATGTAATTCTTGACCTTAGCTTTTAACTTATTTAATGTTGTCCATGGACTTTTGGTACATGTTCAATTTAGTCCCTGAATTATATGAGAATGTTCATAAGCTGATGGACCACATTGTTTATTGAGTTAAAGTTCAGGGATTACATTGAATAAATTAAAAATTTATGAACTACATTACGTATTGGGTTAAAATTCAAGGACCATTTATTTCTTTTATCCCTTAAACGTCCTGGGAACCACGTTCGGGAGGAGACCACAGATACAATGTCGTTAGGTTCGTAGCCATTGGATTTTATAAAAAAGATTAATTCGGGCGGGCTTGGTCAAGCAACTGTACAAAATTTAAAATTGAATATGGGCAAGTGGGGGCAAAAGAGGAAATTCCGTTTTTTTCTGGGCAGGTCAAATCTGACCCTTATGAGATTATAATTTCCTATTTCGTGAATAAATACATAAAAATCATCAAAACGTGATGATGATAATTCCCATTCTTATCGGCATTGAAATAAATAAAAAATTCAAAGAAATCATCGCCGGCTTTATCCAGGAGAGAAAGATAGTGACATAGCATCCGACCGGTCCGACCCGACCCGGACCCGACCCGTCCCGGTCCTATTTAAGCCCCGCTCTCCCAAGTAGCCTCTTCGTCTTCCTCAAAAAACGGAAGAGAGGAGAAATGGCGGCAGTGATGACGCAGAAGCGCACGAACCTCGACGACGACGAGGAAGAGGGAGGAGCGGGAGCAGCTCCGGCCTCGTCACGTTCGCCCCTCCACGGCGACATCCTCGAGCTCACGCTCTCCCACGTGCCCCTCGTCGACCTCGTCCCCGCCGCCCGCGTGTCCACGTCCTGGAGCCTCGCCGTCTCCTCCTCCCTCCGCCACCTCCGCAAGCCCAAGCCCTGGCTCCTGGTCCACTCCCAGAGCACGCGGCCGCCGCACGCCGTCTCCGCGCGCGCCTACGACCCCCGCTCGGGCGTCTGGATGGACCTGGTGGCGGGGCATGAGCGGCGCGCGCCGGCGGCGAGCCTGGCGTCGGCCCTCCGGTCGTCGCACTCGACGCTGCTCTATGGGGTCTCCCCGGCGACGCTCTCCTTCTCGTCCGACCCGCTCCACCTGGCGTGGCGCCACGCGAGCCCCCCCTCCGCGTGGCGGGTCGACCCGGTCGTGGCCCTCGTTGGCAGCCGCCTCGTCGTCGCGGGCGGCGCCTGCGACTTCGAGGACGACCCCCTCTCCGTCGAGGTCTACGACACGCGGGCCCACACGTGGAGCGTGTGCGCATCCATGCCCGTCCCGCTCAAGGACTCCTCCGCATCGGCGTGGCTCTCCGTCGCCGCCGACTGCCGGAGGATGTACGTCATGGAGAAGCTGACTGGCGTGACGCACGCATTCGATCCGGAGGTAGGGGCGTGGCTCGGGCCGTACGACCTGCGCCCGGACCACGACGTTTTCTACTCCGTGATCGGCTTTGCGGGCGACCGCCTTGTCGTGGCGGGGCTCCTGGGCAATTCAGAGGACGTGAAGGGCGTGAAACTGTGGGGATCGATGGCCGTCGGGGCGGACGAGCTCGAAGAGATCTGTGAGATGCCGGAGGAGCTGGTGAAGGAATTGAAGGACGATAATTACTGCGTCTCCTCCATCGGCATGTGTTCCAGGGGTGACTTTGTGTATGTGTACAGCAATTCGAAGCCTGAGATCGTGTTTTGGTGCGAAAGGGAAGATGAATCTGGCGTCTGGAGGTGGGGGACCGTGCGTGACGCGGCGGCGAGAGGCCGGAGGCAGGGTCAGAGGGTGGCGTACACCTGCTCCGAAGTTGGGGTCAGGGAGCTGCGGGAGGCGGCGGCGGCCGGGAACGGGAGGTTCACGGTGGTGGATGGGCGGTGATCGGCGACGGTTGAAGTGGGAACTCCGGGGAAAGCCTGTTTGGTTTTGCTTAAAATCATGCACAAAATACGATTGTACGAAAATTTTCTGTCTTTTCTCATCTTCTTTCGCAAACAGTTAATACGAGATGCTCTAAAATTCCATTTTTTTTTATCCTTTTGCCTTCTGTAAAGGATGATTTTGGTTTGTCAACAATATTCTCACAAATTATCCGGCGACGAAATTGATCCGACGTCATGGTCAACCGTGGTCGGTATCCATTAAAATTAGGTTATTACGTTTGGACATCGCGAGATTGCTTGCACAAATAGAATGTCGCATGAGATTACATGGAACAAGTCCATTAATCAAACTATAACGAAGTCAACTGGGGATCGATTTCCCATCACCTTCCATCTTACTTACTGTGGCGGAATTTTTCCACGCGTAGGAACGATTTGTTCGTGGCTGAATTCGGTGGGGGTTGGTGAAGATACAAACAACAGCACTCACCGCTCCTTAAGGAAGAAAGTGTCCCATCAATTCCAAATCTATTAAACTTTATAATGTTATCAATTTAGTCGAAAAATTTTACGGAAAATTCCAATCTAGTTCTTCCGGTCAATTTTCGCTTGTGCCGCCGGCGATGACTAGACCGCCACGTCAGCAATTCCAGACGAAAACTGATCGGAATGACTAAAATTGAAATTTTCCTAAAAAAATTAGGGCTAAATTGACAAAATTAAAAATTTTATGACTGAATCGGCATCTGCACAATAAGTTTAGGAGCGATTGGATAATTTTCCCGATGGAGGCTCGAACGAAACAACAGGACAGAGAAAGGGGAAAACATGGCGGGCATGCAATTATCTATGTCTTGGTGCCCTCTTCGAGAAAGTGTAGGGTCTACGCACGTTGGTTGGGACTCGAATATGAAATCGGTCATCAGAAGAGATAACCATTGAGCTAATGGCTACAACTTTTGACTAAACTCCTTCAGCCATTTGAACTTATGATAGACAAAAGGTTCAAGACGTACGGTTGAGCTTTCGTTTTCGACTCGGAGCGAAACTAAGTTTTCAAGATGTAAATCCACCGTAAAGTTAGTTGGCTCACCTCGAAATCGCTTTTACGAGTTTGGATCCTTCTTTCGTTCTGATCACGGCCCTCCAGCGAATCAAGCTGTGTTCTTCTCAGCTTCGTCTGAGAAGAACTGCTCAACAGTACCGGTGATCCCAAGACCGATCCTCATCCGTTATGCGAGAGGGAGTTGCTTTCGTGGGCCGACCATCTTCACATATCTGTTGACATTTGGTCCACCTCCAATTCGCCATGTAGTTTGCTCTGAAAGCAACTAGCTCCTTGCGGTAATGCTTCTCCAACCCCACAAGAAGGTATCCTTAACTCCGACCCTCTTTTCGAGTGAATCCCCTCGCCTTCCGAGTTAGATTCCGGTCGAAAGCTCGTGATCGGTTTGTTGATGGCTTTGCATATAGAGATGAACATCTTAAAGACCGATGTTGTGAATCGGGGAATTGCTTGCACTGCTGATTCGATTAAGACCTTACCTGCCTTCGAAAGACTTCCTTACTCGAGTGATCCTAGTGGGTGGAACTGCAAAGTGTCTCCCTAACTTTGGCAGAACGGGCACTCTGAATGCCTGTGCTGATAACATATCATCTTAAAATCTTTTAGAATAATTTCCTCGATTTGAATTTAAAATTCTTTTCTCAATTTGAGAATACTTTCCTTGATTTAAGGAATCAATTTTGCCCTCATCATGTAACTATATATCTATTTAAACGTATTCTGTACATCAATAGAAGAACAAGGAAAATCTAAAAATTCAACGCTTCTTTTACTTTCTTTATGATATCAGAGCATTCTGCGTAATAGCATTATTTGTGATCCTGCTTCTTCTTCCTCATGGCTGCCTCCATCAATTCTAAAGCTACTAGCGCTATCAGTACCCCAATTCAATCCCGACCTATTGTGATTTCAAACATTTCTAGCCTTGTCCCAATCAAACTGAATGCCTCCAATTACCTCCTTTGAAAATCCTTATTCACGCCTATTTTACGTGGTCATCGCCTGATGCATCATGTTGATGGCTCTGTTTCTCCACCTTCATATGATAATCCCACATATCCAACTTGATTTGAAAAAGACCAGCTGCTGTTATCGTGGATCAATGCCACATTAAGCGACTCTGCTTTTCCATATATCCTTGGACTTACTTTTGCCAAATAAGCATGGGATCTGCTCGATAATATATATGCTTCTATAGCACCTGCCCATGTGCTATCCCTCAAACAGTTGCTTACTCGACTTAAGAAGGGCACTCAATCTATGGCTAATTATCTCCAGCAATTTAAGGTCATTTTTTATTAGCTGGTAGCATGTGGTTCTCCCCTAAGCGAGGATGATTTGCTTATTCACATTCTCGATGGGCTGCCACCATCATATCGACAATTCTGTTCCTCGGTTCGTATTCGCGCCAGGACATCAACCCTATCTATTGAAGAACTTCATATCCTGAAAATCTGTGAGGATCTCTCTTTGACTGAAGATACACCACCTGCGGTTTCAGCTTAGTCTATTGCATTGGTGGCTTCCAAACCTTTCAGGCCTAACAACTCTCGTCAATTCTCTCAGGATCGCGGCCATACACCATCTCGTGGAACATTTCCTCCACGCCAGCAGTCCTCCACCTCCTCTGGATCGATGCAACAACGACCATCACCCCAAGGTCAACAAAATTCTCAAAATTTGGGTGTTTGTTCACAATGTCAAATCTGCAATCGTATGGGTCATACTGCCATTGACTGTTATCACCGAATGGACTACACCTATCAAGGCCGCCATCCACCGGAAAAACTTGCAGCAATGGCTGCCACTGCCTCGACCCCACCCAACACTTGGTACACCTACACCGGAGCCACTCATCATCTCACCCCGGAACTCGAAAATCTCCAAATTTCAACTGCTTATGATGGTAATGATACTGTTGAGATAGGTAATGGCCACGGTATGCCCATTACACATGATGGTTCCACTACCTTTTCATCCTCTTCATCACCTCTTCACCTCAAATCTATATTTCATTGTCCCATAGCTTCACACAATTTACACTCTGTGTATCGGTTTTCCAAAAATAACAATTGTTTCTTTAACTTCGATACCTCTGGTTTTTGTATTAAGGACAAGGCCACGATGAGGATACTATATCAAGGGCCAGTTGAGAACGGCTTGCACCCATTTCGCACTCCACCAACATCCACCGCCCCAAAAGCTCATTACAGTTCCTCCATCACCACGAGCCAATGGCATGCTCGTCTTGGCCATCCCTCTCATGACATTCAACGGGCAATTTTCTCAGTCGCTTCTATTTCCAATAAATCGGGATCTCACATTTGCTCTTCATGTCAGCAGGCGAAGAGTCACAAGCTTCCTTTTTCCAAGTCTTATTTTACCTCTAGTCGTCCTCTAGAATTATTACATTGTGATGTATGGGGCCCTGCTCCCACATTATCTTGTTCTTTTTTTTTGGTGTAAAATGTAAGTAGTATATAATGATGATGTTCAGCTTAGGGGCATTCCCTGGCATTACAACTAGTACTAATAATTCGAGAATATGGAGGTAGGAAGTCTCCATAAAGTAGCTAAAACAAAGTTAGCTTGCGAAGGTTTGATTTTTTTGTATAGTGAAGCTCTAACCTCTTACATTTTTCCACACCTTCGCCAAAATAATCTGAATGTCGGTTGGATTGTTTTGAAACCGCTATGGTTGCGCTCCATGGGCAATATACAAAACCCTAGGAAAGATACTTTGAGGAGTTTTGCCAAATCTTTGCCTCTTGTTGCTCTAACCATCCATTGAAGCTCCTCATTCCATCCCCATACATTACGCCTAATCCCATGTTGCGCAAGAATATTGCGCCGTATGCTACTTTGTCCATTCGCATTGGAAGAAAAGGTGAGTCGTGTTCTCTATACTTGCCCTACGGAAGGTACATTGAACATCGACCAAGTCATCCACCGTGATATGATCTCTGCCGTCGGTAGCCTATCCCTACATACTAGCCAACCAATAAAATTGTGTTTGCTAACGCCGCTACTCCATATTAAGTTATACCACCACACGGACTCTCGTGTCTAAGTTCATCCAAGACATCATGACAACAATATCTTGGATTAGACATGACTGGGGTTAGGACATGACGTAGTTTGAGAAGACATCGCCAACTCCAGGCCACATTATCTTGTTCTAATTATTCCTATTATGTTCTCTTTGTCGATGATTTTTCCAAATATTCATGGTTATTTCCTATGAGATTAAAATTTAACTTTTATGACATCTTTGTTAGTTTTAAAAAGCAAGTTGAAAATCTTTTGCGTCACACCATCACCACATTTCGCTCGGACGGTGGTGGAGAATTCACAAGTAATGCCTTCAACAATTTTCTTCAATCATATGGCATTACACATGAATATTCTTGCCCCCACACACCAGAACAAAATGGTATTGTGGAGCGCAAATACCGCCATATCATCGAAACTGGCTTAGCTATGATGGCCCATGCTCAATGCCTTCTAAATTTTGGTTGGAAGCCTTCACCACAGCCATTTATTTGATTAACCACATACCCATACTTCAACATCACACTTGTTCTCCATATCAAGCTTTATTTCACACCCCTCCTGATTATTCACACTTACGAACCTTTGGTTCTCTTTGCTTCCCATGGCTTAGACCTTATAAAGCTAACAAATTGGAACTTCGATCAACCCCCTGCTGTTTTATAGGCTATAGCCCCAGTCATAAAGGCTATCGTTGTATGAATCTCTCATCTGGTCGAGTATATATTTCTCGTCATGTGGTCTTTGATGAAACTAAGTTTCCTCACTCCCATGTCACTCCCACTCATTATTTACATCTTCCACCTCATAGTCTCGATTTTTTTGGAGTCATTCAAACCGAGCATGCTCATTGTGGTCCCTCCACCACTTCATAGATCGTT